ATTAGAATTAATCGAGTTTAATGGGTTTGCTGTGTGGTTCCGTTTTTCTCGAGAGGTGAATTTTCCCCGTACGGGTTGAATTATTCATAAATGTTTCTGGAGTAGTGATAAAAAAAAAAAGAAAAGAGGAAAGAAAGCGTTGATAAAACGGAAAAGACGTAGACACGTTTCCTCCCCCTTTATTTTCATATCTTATCAACCTCACCTCCCCACGAAACTTTGAATACATTTCATCGACTTCGCCCAACAACACCAAGAGTTCCTTGGTATTTGCAAACTATTCCAGTTTTATCGCCCGTATGCTCCAACGTATATTACGCACAATCGCGTTTCTCAACACGTTTAACGAAAGCAAACTGAACTGGAGGAAACGAATACTCGTTAAAGAATAAATTACTCGACTTTTCCCTCGATTATATTACTTATTAATTAAATTAGTATTTCAATTTTCAGTTTCACAATTAAATTATTTAACGTTTAACGAAAATTTTTAAGTTACTTCTAATTCAAGTAGTAACAAATTTTTCCTTCGAAAAAAAAAAAAAGAAAAACGATAATTCCTCTTTCCTTCCAACGGATCGGAAAATCGGTGATTAATTTATAATAATCGAACAATTCCAGCGAGACGATATCGCATTGAAGACGGGGGAGGTGGGGGGGGAATTTCCTCGAATCGACGACGGGGAGCGTTCAAGCCCCTCCCCCTTCCTTCGATCGATCGAGAAATAAGAAAGCGGCTGCACAATCTCGTATTAATTTAAAATCGCTCGTTTGACAGAGGGTGGGTAAATTTGCCTTTCCTGCTTCCTTTTTCTCTCTCTCTACTCTCCTCCTTCGCTAATAAACCACTCTTTCTACGCGAGAGGGATCCTCGAGCACGTTAGCTTCGAGTTTTACCGCTATTGTACCTCTTTCGAGGGGGCGAGTTTTGGCGGGAAAAAAGGAAGATTTGAATAAGAGATCACGTCGGAATCCAGGCGTAATTGGAGAAATGCATATTTACGTACGGTGATCACAAGTTTTTTTTCCTAATTTTCTTATTAACTCGATATTCGCGTTAACTAAAAATTCTCTCTTTTTGCTTCGCTTTCTTAACGCTTTATAAAGTTCGTGAAATTTTCTTATGAAGATAGAGGAAGAAATTATATATATGTATATATATATGTGTTTATAAGTTGTTGAAATTTCTTGTAATTGCAGAAAGAATAGGAAATAGTTTAATTTTTTCAACGCAATTGATCAAAGCTTTCGAAAAAAATCGATCTCGTTATAATTTCATTAAAATAAAAATTTTAATTTCCGATCGTGATAAACAAGATCGATATAGATTGGATTACTTTCCAGATTTGCTTTCTTTTTTTTTTTTTTTCCGCGAGAGAGAAAAAAATTGCCTTTGAGAAATCAAATTTCGGGTAAAATTATATTAAATACGGGGACTGACCCGTGATAATTGAGAGAATCAATATGGATAACGCGGTTAAGCGAGGTAATCAATATTTTGAAAACTCGTGTCGAACGAGCTAAATGTTTAGCAAACGTCGTTTCCTCTTTGGTTTGATTTGTTCAGAGTCCGTTATTTGATTAACACTCGTGAGAAGAGATTCTCCGATTATTTTCAACACTGCACAACAAGTAGTAGATCGATGCTGGATGTTGGATGGCAATTACATCGATTCTAGGGATATGTTGATAAAAACGCAGAAAATTTCGTGCAAAATCTATAAATTAAAACTTATAATTTCTATTAAATAAATTTTTAATTTTCTTCTTTTCCTTTCAACCAAACTTTCATTCGAACAAACATTACGTGTAACATGGAAATTTCTAATTTTAATTAACATATATATATTATATATAGGGATTTTCTATTTATTCTAGTTGTATTACCTCGAACATTCAGTGAAATATCCAGAATAGATAAACTTTAACGATATCTTTAAAATTAACTTTGAATGGGAAAAAAATAAGAATTTCAGTTATACTTTCATTCTTTATCGATATATCGAATTATCGATAATATGTTAAACGTTCGAGACCAGTGATGCAATATGGCGGTTGATGCGTACGGTCGACGACTCGCGACACAAACATTTTCAAGGAAAGAAATCTTTTCAAGATTGTTGTAATTAATTTAATTTTTCGCTATTTTGAAATTGTACTTTGTTTTTAATAGCTTTCGCGTAATAAAACTATCGAAAAGTTATATTATCCAAGTATTTATTTATTACAAATAATTGTAATGATGTAACGAAAATAAATATATGTCTATTTCGTAAAAATTGAGGAATGTGGTTGGTCAATTTTAACAAACTTATAAATGCATTTTATTTCGACATAGGATGGCAAAATCAACAACATTGACATATACAAACAGGTGGAATAAAATAGATAGGAAGTTGTTCGTTCGATTCATCTTATTTATTCTATTTAATCTTCCTTATCGATAAAGTCAATATTACCCTGGGTGTGTACATAACCTATGATATATTACATGCTCTGTAACGGACGCCATTACGTTGGAATCTACCATGAAACTTGTGCGCATGCGTGTGTACGTTCCATTCTTCAAAACTGGTTTCTGGAAGCAATGTTTTCGCGATGAAAAATATGAAATCAATGTTGTTGTTTCAATCGCGTTTACCTTGGCTCTTCTCTGCGAAAATAATATATCGCGAATTATTTGTAAATCGAAAAAATTGGAATCGGATCGACGAGAAGTAAAAAATCTCCGTGATAAATTTCGCTATCTTGTTTCATATTGGTTAAAATATCGTCACGGGTAATATTACCTCTTTTTAATAACATTCCATACTTTTCTTCTAATTCAATTATGAATTAATCGATTTCAAAAATTTTTTTATTCTCACAATTGCACTAAAAATATTACTTTTTTTGTTCGTAATAAAGTCTCGTTCTCATTCAAGAAGAAATCTTGCTTCAAGATTGATCTTAAATCTAGATCGATAATTCCAGTATTAAAAATGCGATATCATTTATTCGCGCGAAAAACTCAACGATCAACGAGTCGGTAAACGCCTTCTTTTTCTTCCTCCCCATAAACTATGCACGCGGGCGAAACGAAGGTTTGTTCCTTTCAAACGCGTGCAAAAGGGAGACAAAGCGCGGGCAAAAAGCACGAGGCAGAAGTTACACGAAAACCCAGTCGTGCATGGCTGACCATGCAAGGATTCATTCACTGTTCCCCCAACTTGGCTGGGAAAGTGTAGTCCATTAGACGGTCGGCGAGTCACCACGGGCCAATGGCCAATAATTTATCGTTTTATCTCTTAGACGCAGGCCGAGATCGCGTAATTAATTCGATCAAAAATTCAAACTCTCTTCGAAACACATTTCTCTTCAGCCATTCACCGCGTGCACAGCCACGTAATACCACTGATTAGAATGTATAAAACTTTGTTGGAAATTGAATAATTGGAAGTTACCAAGACTTTTTTGAATATAGTGTACATACTATTACGATCAAAACTTTGGAATGATAAAATGTCTTCTGTGGCGAATTGAAAAAATGTTGGGTTAGAATTTTATCGTTTATTTATAAAATTTACTATCCCCGAAAATTGAATGTTTACAGTTGTGAGTAATAAGTACATTATCGTTTGAAATTTTATTATATCTTTCTCCATAGAATGTTAACGTAATCGAAGAAAAGTTAGGTTAGAATTTCGTCGCTTGAAAAATTTGCGATCGAAAATTGGAATTTGGATAGGAAGTAAGTGTGTTTCACTATGTGATGAATGCAATTGGCCATCGTTGTAAAAACACGAAATGATTGATTTTGTTCATGAAAATCGTTTCTAAGAAGAATAATTTCGTTGGAGAAGTTGAACGAATTATGAAAATTTTGATTATGCAAATTCGAAGGTTTTAGAGATGATATACAGGGATTTCATGTTAGTTATCCATTTTAATCTCTCAAGGCACGGTGCAATAATCCTGATGGAATAACAGCATTTGTAAATTGAAATAGTTGCGCCAGAATCTGAATTTCGCGGACTGTCTCGCAAATATTACAGGATTTCCTAAGCATTTCAACGATTATTACGGATATGTTAGTTCACAGCATTACGGAAATTGCATTAAATCGAAGCATTTCTTGGTCGAATAGAAAGTTTAAAAAAAAAAATATCCAAAAATAATTTTCACGATCTTTTCAATTTATCTTAAAAAAAAAAAAAAAAAAAACGTATATCTATCTATCGTTTCATATTTAAAACGAATAAAGAAATTACTTTAATTACACAACTTATTTATATTGGATAAATTTCATCCTCGTAATCCCAAAACTACTTATTTACGCTTACGTTAAACGACATCTTCCAGTTAATCGTCAAGATATCGATCGAACAATAAAAGAATAAGTTACGAGCTTCTCTAAATTTTGTCTTATCTTTTCTAAAGTTGTTAAACTTCAACTTCAACGTCCTCCAATTGTAAATGGTGTAACATTTTGTGTGTCTGTAAACCGTTTCCGTCCCCCGGATGGCGATATATCTCGAAGAAGGAGGGGAAGCCCCTCTTCTATATTTCTTCCCCCCCCCCCAATTTAAAGTTTCCCGTGTTTAAAATTAAGCGTAGAAAAGTTTTCCTCGGATAAACTGAACTTGTTAAACGTAGCCAGAAACTCGCTCGATATCGGAGGGGAAGTTGGACGAATCCCCTCTTCTTTCCACGTGGCCGGATTACTCGAATTGGCCGCGATGAAAACACGTGTCGTCCACACTCTTGTGGATCTGGAAGAAGAGTTGGAAGATCTTCTCGTTTCACGACGCGTGATATTAATCGTTTGATCGCGTAATTTGTGTAAATATGATATAATTTATAACTAATAGAATTTATAATTAATTGGAAGAGAAGAAATTGTTAAGAAAGATTGTATTCGCAAAGATTAAATTTTGGATAAGAAAAAAAAAAAAATTTATTTTTCTAACGAAAGAAAGAAATGGAATTGTCGCTAAAGATGTGTTTTTTTCTGCTTGCAGAACCAACTACCGTCCCCATGCTTGGCAGTGCCTTTCCTGGGACCACTTTAGGTGAGTCGAGTCGTTGTCGTGATGGAAATTTCTCTATTAAAATTTTCACCCAATAAAATTGTTTGCCTTCCATCCTCCGCCATCCCTCGATGCGATTCTCAAACCACTCCACCTTTATTATCGACCGATACAGGGGCCACTCTCGCCATTTTAAAGGCGAATCGATATCTCTCCCTGGTGGAGAGTTTTAAAGTGTCTCGATATCGACCGGTAAATTTTCTTTTTTTTTTTTTTTCTTTTTTTCCTCCTCTTCGACGAAAGTCGAAGAGTTTAACAAACTTCATTTATATCGGCCAGTGTGCCGATGGAAGTATATATATGTATATATATATATAATAAAAATTCTCGATTACGTAAAAAACGAATCGCTGTTTCCTTCGCATCTACTTTCTTCTTTTAATCTTGTCAAGAGAAGGAGAGAATTTAATTTTTACTTCCTTATCGGTGACACGCGAGTAAAAGTTTTTACAGGCTATTCTTTTTTTTTTTTGATATCGAGACAAAAGTTCGATTAAATTTTAATACTTGAAATTCTTGATCATTGGCTCGGAAGCCAATGTTTATCATTTAAAAGAGGAGTATCCGAAAAGATGGAAGTTTAATGAAAAAGCCTCGATCGGTGATAAAAAGTATCGAAAAAAGAAATTGCATCGTATCCTGGTATAATATAAACCATAACCGAATAATAAAACCACGGAGAATATTTTCCTCCTTTCGATTTCTCTAGGAGCAAGGTGAAACTTGGAGAAAAAAAGGATCGATCATTTTTTTT